GGAATGCTTTCTACAGTGCAGTGACTGAAATGACCAGATGTGACACAGCTTGTTCCAGCACAGCAGAAACAACAAAGCTTATTCTGTTCATTTTCAGTTTCCAATGCGGGGTCTCTGCAGTCAGCGATATGCCACGTTGGCTTTTTCCCCTCTTTAGTCTCCTTCCTTGCAAGCTAAGCTTCCTTCTTTCTACAACAGCAGCCTTCACGCCCAGCTCTCATGAATAAATCAATTATATTGAAAGTCTACAGTCAGCAAGACCAGTATGATTTGCCTTTCATTGGTCTGGTATGACTGATGCTGAGATGTAGGAGCTTTAACCCGTACCACTTCAGCCCCACCAACACTTTTGTTTCGTGGACACCTGTACTGTTGTGAAAGGCAGACAACAGCCACAATCAAACACCGAAGGTACGCAAAGGGCACATGTACTCTTATTTACAGAGTTAATTTAATATACATGCCTGCAGACTGCGCAGAAGGAAAGACAACCCTGCTGCCCCTGTGGGGTGGGCTGGCAGCAGTTGGACCCCTTGGCAGATGCCTGACACCCAAACGGACGATGCAGCTCCAAGGGCAACAACGGCAGCAGGGTTGAAGGAAACAGGACTGAGGAGCCCCAGTGTCAGCACAACAGAGCAAGCGGCAGAAGGACCCAGCACTGGGCAGCCCCAGTGTAACAGAACAGAGCGACCGGCAGAAGAACCCAGCACCAGGGAGCTCCAGCTGGCAGAGACGCTGTGGGGGTACTTACCCAGCATGGGCTGATCCGGCAGCATAGCCTCTGGCACTGGGTCCAGGCACACTGGCACGTGGAAATACATTTGCAAAGGGCAAACACAGGATATGTGTGTTCTGTAAGCAGGACCCTATTGACTTCACCACAGTTTTTTCTTTTTAAAGCACAACTTTAACCAACAGTAAAATCACTAAGTTATCAGGGAAGGCACTGCATGGTTTTGTGGCTGTTGTTATTGCTGCTTTAGGAGAGCAATAGCACAGCCCTGGGTGTAAGCAGCACCCTTGAACAGGACAGCAAATGCTCCTGAGACACTGCGATAGCTGACTGTTACTTCTGCTGGTTGAACCAGTTACTGGGGTCAGGACGTGCTCTTTCTCTGTGCAGGCTGCTGCAGTGGCTCTGGTGCCTCTCTGCTGGCCTGGGGTGCTTGATGTCAGGAGTGTACCTGGCTCAGCAACCACACCTGAGGGGACACCAACAGAGGTGATGGGCAGCCCCAGCGCAGTGACCAGTGGCAGCAGCCGTGATCCATGGCCATGCAGGCAGCAGGGGCGAGCAGCGTGTGCCCAGGAGCTGTGTCCCCTCTCCCAGGAGCTGCGTCCCCTCTCCCAGGCACAGGACACATGGCTGTCGCTTTCCAGTTCACTCTCCATTACTGCGGGGCTGCGTGGGTGCGTGGGGAGGGCTGTCACGCACACAGGAACACGCAGGCAGAAATAAAGCCACATGGGCACCCAGAGCGGAGCAGTACCATGTATTCACTCAAAGAACATGCCCAGAACATAAGTGGAAAGGCAGCACAGAAAACAACCGACACAACAAACTTTCCACCCAGCCAAGTCCTGCTTCTCCATCCAAACGCTGTTTGCACCAGCCCTCTTTAGCACAACACAGACGCTCTGAGAAAAGGATTAGGAAAAGGCGTAAGAGGAAGCATGTGCCAGCAATTTTAATAAGAGTAAACACATTTCTGAAGTAGGTTCTCCTCCTGCAGTGCTTGTGAAAAAACACACCAACAGACGGCCAGCATCTCGGCTGATCCATTTTCGAGGAGCACGGCAGGGAGCAGACAGGCACCTGCGATCCTAGCCCCTGCCAATGCCTGTCTGTGGCCCAGGGTGCAGCTGCAACCGCAGCCACAGACACAGCACACCCGCACCCCGCAACCCCAGGACTGCCCTCCACATCAGCACCCACAACAGGAGCACAGCTAGGGCTCACTGAACTCACACCAGCATTTCTGGAGCAGTGGGAATGCCACAGCGCTGCGCACTGAGGAACGCCATACCAGTATGTTTGATCAAGGAACATCTCAGCACTTTTTCTGCCTCAAACTATCGGCAACCTCTGGTTTTGCAGAACAGAAAGGACAGAGGATTTCCTCCTTTGTAAGGCTTTTCACACTTTGAATCAAGCCTGAATAAAGCGAAATGTCCTGCTGCAGTTACTCCAGCGGAAGTGGCGGATTTCGTGCCCAACGCATTCCCAAGGGACGCTCCTCTGCCTGAGAGAGAAAGCTGCATGAGATGAGCTATCCAGGTCCAACCGTTCCTACGCTATCAGCAGAGAATTAAACCAAACGCAAGGACATATGGTCCTTCTAAGCTGCTTATAGAGACGCACTGTGGACAGAACACTCAGCTTCAGTGTTTAGAAAATTATTCCTTTGAGTAAAAAATTAAAAATATAAAAATAAACCTCCCTAAATCCCAAGAAGCTATTAATATTTTAGCACTTTCACAAAAAATTAGACATGATTACGCCCAATTTTAGACAACATATAAAGCATTTTCATTTGACGTTTTTGAAACACACAATTAAAACAAATCAGCAGCGAACCTTTAAAGCTACCTGCGCACCCCCACACAAAGAGGAGGTGCTGTCTGCAGAGAGCAGCTCCTTGCTGGGCACAGAACCCGCTGTTTTCCTGTGTGTGCCACCACCCTCATGGTCAGACACCAGACCCTGAACAAATCCATCCCCTGCCCCTGACGCTGCACTACTTTAATAGCTGGTTTCTGTGCATACAGCCCCTCGAGAAGAATGTGCACTACACCAAAGAAATCTAAGGAGGGATTTTTAAATTAATTTTTATTAACTTTTCCAGCAGGAAGCAGGTATTCTAATTTTGAGGCTTTGCTTCCTTTTTGGTCTCTTTATTTCCCAAGGGAAGTAAAAGGGCTATCTAAAATAGAAACGGCCTCTTCTTTTTATGTCCTTTACACCAGACACCGTTTTACTGCAACAGGTAGAAAAACCCCTGAGAGCAACCCACGATGGCTGAGAGCAAAGGGAGTCACAGGGCACACGCCAGCCCTGGGCTGGGAGGCAGAGACCCGGGGGCTGTTGCAAGGCATCCTCTGCCACAAGTCATCCTCTGCCATGAGCCATCCCCTGTCACGAGCCATCCCCTGCTGCAAAGCTCTGGGCTGACCTGCTACCCCAGCTGGAGCCACGGCGTCTTGGGGCACCTGCTTGGGTTACATTGCCCTCAAGAATGAGCACACCGGGTATAAAACTTCACTGTTCTGTCACTTCAATGGGCACAAAGCTCACATTAAAGTTATTATTTGGCATCTGAGAAGGCAGTAACATTGCAGAGTTAAGCTGTCTCTAATTTAAACATGATAACCATAGAAGTTTAATTAATATTAATTGTAGACTTTTCTTTAGAAGGAGCAGAGCAGCAGAAGCACATCTGCCATCCTCACATGGTGGGGTTTTCAACTGCTGTCACCTATTGCCATGTGTTTATGTCCTTACGTAGTGGTCTGAAATTATTCTATCCCCCAGGCACCGCAATCAGAGAGCAGGTTAAAGATAAGACCATCTTCCAGTCCCTTCAGTGCGCATGGGATTGAAGAGAACTGGAACAAACCGCAGACTTTACAGGAAATATGCCCCAAAACATCTAGGAAAGGAGATGACCACCATGATCCCGATGGATCATCACTGGGGGTCGCTGCACCTGTCTGCTGCAGCCCTGCCCTGCTCCCTAAGGCGCTGCGCTCTGCCTGACCCAGCGCCACAGATCAGGGTGCTCAGGGACGGGGGTCGGGGATACCCGGTGGCAGAGCAGGACCCCGTGCCCCAGCACCCTCCTCCTCCTCCTCTTCCTCCTCCTCCTCTTCCTCCTCATCCTCCCTGTGCAAGGCTCCTGTGCGGGCAGTCACCGCGAGGCGGGCTGGTGTATGGAGTGAGTATTTTATTTTACACAACATAACAACACAGTGTTGTTGTTTCTGTACAGCATCTGCCTAAAAACAAAGGCAACACCATTGTCACGGAAAAGAAATATACAGTCTGACCATTTTAAAAAATATCATTTTACTGATTGATCCAGAAGTGGTTATTTGTTAGCTTGGAGGAAATTTCATTTCCTTTATAAAAGGCTTTTTCTGTGAAAACTCTCTCTTTTGTTTTCTGCTACTGCAGAACCAGGAAGCCAGTCCTAGAGTAGGGAAGGCACTGGTGCTGTTTCATGCTTTTTTTTCGCCCCTTAATCTTTTTTTTTTCCTTTTTTTTTAATCTCTGAATGTTGCCTTCGGTTTTGATAATAAAATCAAATGAAAACTAAATAAAACTCTGTGTGCACTGGGTGGCTTATACAGAACCCCGCATGAACAAGCCATTAATCAGCAAGACAACAGTGGACTTCCAAATCCAATTCCCCGGGAGCGGGAGTTTCACACAACGTTTGGTGTTTTGTTTCTCATTAAGATGAAAATTAAAATTAAAAAAAAAAGAAAGAAAGAAAAAAAAAAGCAGGTCACACAGTGCTTTCCAATATCCACTCAGAACTGGAGAAAGTTGCTTTTCCGCTATCCACATCAGAGCTGTCTGACTGGACTAGCATCCCGTTCATGGACATGCTCCTTTTGGACCGCAGGCCGGGGCAGCGGGGCTCCATCAGCTCGCCACCCAGCGACAGCCTGCGCTTGGCCCGGGATGCGTCAGCTGGCAGCGTGAGGAACTTACTTGGCTTGGGTTGTGCTCTTTTGTACGTGGGGGCCCCTCGGGCAGGGTCAGGGGCACGGCTAGCTAACTGCAGGGCAGTGGAGTTATTTCTGTTACTGTTCTGGGCCTCAATGCTGCCCACAGCGTCGCTCTGCAGCTCACTGCTGGGCTTTGGCCCCAGCTTCCGCTTCTGCTTCTGGGAGCCAGAAGCACTGGAAGTCCAGGTGGGAGGCAAAGCAGAGGTAGTGGTGGCCGAGTCCTGGCTGGAGCTGGTCTCGGGCGACTGCATGGCGCCGTCGCCGCCAGCCTTGCAGCACTGGATGCCCTCTTCGTGCCCCACAGCCTGCTTGGACATCGACTGCGACAGCACCCCACTGCAGCCCTGGATCTGAGCCCCGTTCGTCTGTGAGTACACGTTGCTGACCTTGGTGGCCTTCTGCTGCCCGTTGTTGTTGCACACCTTGTAGCGGATCATGAGGATGATGATGAACACAAGCACGGAGGCCACAATGATCCCACCAATGATGATGATCATGGTCCCACCCAGGAACTGGGACTGCATGAAGTGGCAGCGCACATAGTCCTGCTCGGTGGTGAACTGTGTGCAGCCCACCACCCTGGTGGCAGTCAGCGAGGTGATCCCGTCGTCGTAGATGGCCAGGACGCACAGGTCATACGCGGTCCCCGCGGCCAGGTTGTTGACCAGGAAGGTTTTGCTTGTGGGAGGTATCATTCTAGGGGAGAAGGAAACCAGCATGAATGAATCCGGCAGACCCGCAGCCACTTCCCCGCCGTGGGCTGCAGCCCCGGCCATGGTGGACATCCCCACAGCTTGGCTCCCTGCTCCTGTCACCGTCCCCAGAGCTGCTGTACCCTGCCTGTGATGCAGCAGCAGTCACTGCCAGCCCCCCCGGCAAAGCTTGGCACACCTGAGCCCCCCATGAGAGTGATCACATCAAAAACATAAGAGAAATTACTAAACAACAGTTTTTAATAGTATGACTGTTATCCACCAGAAAGTGCTACGAGGAATGCAGTCACAGACACCTTTCTCCTATGCTTCCATAAAGCTGAGAGTGTTAAGATCCATTTATCTCATCTAACTTTACAGCCTTACTGCCAATCAGATTAGCTCAGAGGATTAGAGATCTTCCCGGATTATCTAAAAATAGAACCGTTCAAGGTAATTTCCCCATGTGCGAGGAGAAAATTGCATGAGTCTTTCCTGAGGCTCCCACCATCTGCTGCCACAGGCAGGGCTCTGCTCGGGCAGTGGTAGGGAACCTGCAGCTCCAGCAGAGGGGCTGCCCAGGGCCGGGGACTGCCTGGGGCTGGGGGCTGCCTTACCTGTAAACAAGGGAGTCATCGTAAGTCCCGTTGTACTGGATTTGGAACATACGTATTCCAGGTATATTCCTCTGGAAATTGAATTTCAGCAGAGCGGTAGAGGATGTTGCTTCCGCAACAACCACCTTCTTCTCTTGGCTGACTTTAGTATCCCCATTGCTACTGCTTGCATTGGAGCCCGACTTGGTGGATGTGGAGATATCCGAGGAGCCAGGGTCAGGCTCGTGGATGTGGTTGGTGCTGTTCAGCAAGTGGGGGAGCTTGATGATGTGCAGGTCCACCATCTGCGTGGCCTCCCCAGCTGGGTTGGAAGCAATGCAGGTGAAGGAGCCCGTGTCCTTCACCGTCGTTATAAGGATGTCGAGCGTCCCGTTGTCGTACACCACGGACCTCGTTGCGTTGGAGATCAGTTTGCCCTCAGGTGAAATCCAGTGAATCGCAGGCTCGGGGTCCCCCCGGGCCTTACACCGCAGTGCTGCCCGCTGGCCCTCCAGCACCCGCAGCTCGTGGGTGTGCCGAGTGATGAGAGGGGGCTCACACAGGAACTCCTCCTCGGGGATCGACCAGAAGTACCGGCCGGACAAGAGCGTGGGAGACGCACAGGTCTCCAGGTCATCCTCCCTCGAAAGACGCCTCAGCCACAAAAGCTCACAGTTGCAATGCAAAGGGTTCCCACCAAAGCTCAGCGCGAAAGTCGAGGGGCTGATAATTCCTGAGGTTGCCAGCACCTGAGCTCGCTGGAAGAGAGGATCAGGCGGTAGCTTCTGCAGTTTGTTAGACGTGACGTCCAACCTGGTCATCTTGTGGAGGTGAGAGAAGGTCCCCTTAGGAATATGGTCGATCATGTTGTGGTCTAGACTGAGCGTGTGCAAACTAACCATCTTCTCCACTGCGTCCCAAGGGATGGTTTCTAGGTTGTTGTAAGACAAATCCAGTTCCTCGAGAGCTAAAACATCATCGAAAGCTGTGGAAGAAATCAAAGTCAGTTGGTTGTTGTTAAGTATCAAGTGGTGCAGATTGGAGAGCCCACTGAACATGTCATTAGTGATCTTAGTCAATCGGTTGCTGTTCAAATGCAAAGCCCGCAAATTGCGCAAGTCAGCAAATGCGTGAGGTGTAATAAAACTGATTGTATTCCTGGACAGTGTCAGGTCCACCAGGCTGGTCATATTGGCAAAGTCTTTCCTTTTAATGTTTGTAACAAAGTTGTCTGCCAGCCGCAACTCCACGGTCCTCCTATCAATGTTGGGAGGAACAAATAAGAGCCCTTTCTTGGCACAAAGGGTGGCAAGGTTCGGAGACAAAATCTGACAGACACAGCGCTTTGGGCAGATCTGAGCTCTCACCACAACGCCAATGAACAGCAGAAAGAAAAGCAGTTTTTCCATTGTAGATCAGGTTCAAGAGCCTGTAAGGGAAAGCAAACGTCTGTTAGTGTCTGCAAGAGAAGCAAATGAGATAATAAAAAACCAAAGACAAACTGTGGGTAAATCATGTAACTGAGGTGCACGTAACGGTGCGGCATCCTCATCCTGTGACCTGGCACCTTTATCATTGTCCATACCCCGACACAGCAGCTTATCTACCACCTTCCAGCAGAACAACTGAGAGATGGGTATGTTTGCATGCACACATACACAGACACCTCTATACAAATGTCATAGGAATTTGGTGCTGGTGCCACCACATGTGGCATCAGTGGTGCCTTTTGGGCCGAGCTCACCTCTGCCATACAACTCATCTCCACACCAGGCCCTTGGTGTTCCCACAGACCTCGCGCCCTGGAGTCTGCCATAATGTCATTTATGTACTGAAAATGAGGGATGTTTCATGTGTGCTTTACTTGCTGAGCTAAACCCTTAGCAGCCTTTAAATTATGGCAATTCAATGGGTTCATGGCCATCACCACCAAACGTTTAAGCTCTTAATGCTATTTTCAGAATTAACTCAGGAGGAGCTAATTTTACATCATTCAAAACCCAAAAAAGCAAATAAAACAAACAAACAAAAAAAAGCAAAGCCCCCACAACAACAGGGATCTAAATAAAAATGGAACATGGGCTAATTTTAGATCTTTGCTGTTTTCCCTGCTGCCACAGCCAGCACCGCCACGCTCCTCTCCTGACAGTTTATTAGCCTTATCTCTCATGCTGGCAGATCCAGCATGGAAACACGGCCGACAACAGCAGTGGCCACACCAGCCAAATGAAATCATCCATCAGCAACCATGCCAAAAGCTCTGTGGGAGCTGTGGTGCTGGGTCCTGCGCAGCCCTGTGTTGGTGCCCCCATGTTGGTGTCCCTGCACACGTGCCAGCGGGCACAGCACGGTCCTGCGGGGAAGGACCAAGGGGGCCAAGGGGCAACTTGTGCCATCAGAAGCAATGGACCTCGGAGGGACCCCACATCCACAATGAAGCACTGGCTCCCTTCGGGACTGATCAGATTGTACACATATAGATCGGAGCACTCAGACACATGACATTCCCAGAAATGTACTAATGAATCCCATCTAAAATAAAATAAAGTTTCACAGCTAGCCATAAGCAGAAGCCTTGAATCACCATGGATATTTAGAGATAATTTAACATCAGAACAATAACTACTGCTCCTATTATCCCATCTGTCCATAATCCATCCACGTGCGAACTAAGAAGAGCCAACAAGCTGTAAAAGGGATGAGTGACAATGCCAGTCTCCAAACCCTACTCTTCAGCACTACCAATTTAATTTTCTTCCTGATACTGGGGGCTGTAGGTTTCCATGACTACAGATTCCAACTCTTAAGTCCTCATTGGAAACAAAAAAAAAAAGAAAAAAGGTCCTCAACCAAGTATGTGGCTGCTGGCGTGGCCTTTCACATCAAACCAACTACAAACCACAGCAGGCTCCAAGGCTCATTCCACACAGAAACCTCCCCAGTGTTTTCTGGTGCAAGGTCTGGTGCCAGGGCACCCCTGGAGCGACCCCAGCCTGTACAGCACTGCCATGCCACAGCCACCACCCCACACCACCACGGCACCGCTCCTGCAGGCTGCATGCCCCAAAGGCACTGGTGTGTAGTGGGATATGAAAGTAAATGACCACCTCTTGGTACTGGCAACAAACTGAGGTAATGTAAAGGGTTGATGAATTTGAAATTTCCACCTGGAATTGATCCAAGGGACACAGGAATGAAAAGTCCAATACACCACGCTGAGGTCGCTTTTTTTACCCGATTTTTTTAGACCCCATCTTCTCTGGGAGCAATAGGTTTTAGGATGCTTGGCGTAGTGTCTGCCACTGTGTCCAGTGCTACAAAGGGCCATTTGCATCCTGTGAATTACATAAAACTCGGACACAGCGGGATCCAAGAGATAGTAATTAATCAGCCAATGATTTCTACTGCATCTGATTCTGTTTGGGTGGTAGATGCTACACAAAGCCAGCGTGAGGGGGAACCAACCATGGCACACAATCAGAGCCAGCTGCTGGTTTGAGGCCTGGTTCAGACATAACCTGTCATAACCTGCCGAGCCTCAGCAGAAGTTGTGATGTTCAGGCTCTTTATAAATGCAGTTTTGTGGTGGGGAAGGAAAACATGCTGAGGATATTCACCTGCTGGGGGTGAAGGATAGGGAGAGAGCTGGCACCAGGCACCAAAGGCATCCTGCAGCCACACTAAGATGGGTGCATAGCAATGCAGACGCTGTGATACAGCACACGCTGCTACGGCCGCTTAGGAGAGAATGGGAGCTTCAGTTTCACAGAGGTCAATGGTTTGTAAACACGCCCGAGTGTTTTGCTGAATTGGAAACAAAGCACCTGAGCACTCCTCCCCCTCTACTCTGCCCTGGCGAGACCGCATCTGGAATATTGTGTCCAGTTCTGGGCCCCTCAGTTCAAGAAGGACAGGGAACTGCTGGAGAGAGTCCAGCGCAGGGCTACAAAGATGATCAAGGGAGTGGAGCATCTCCCTGATGAGGAGCGGCTGAGGGAGCTGGGTCTCTTTAGCTTGCAGAAGAGGAGACTGAGGGGAGACCTCATTCATGTTTATAAATATTTAAAGGGTGAGTGTCACGAGGATGGAGCCAGGCTCTTCTCGGTGACAAACAATGATAGGACAAGGGGTAATGGGCACAAGCTGGAACACAGGAGGTTCCACTGAAATTTGAGAAGAAACTTCTTCTCAGAGAGGGTGACAGAGCACTGGACCAGGCTGCCCAGAGAGGTTGTGGAGTCTCCTTCTCTGCAGACAGTCAAAACCTGCCTGGACGCCTTCCTGTGTAACCTCATCTGGGTGTTCCTGCTCCGGCAGGGGGATTGGACTGGATGAGCTTTTGAGGTCCCTTCCAGTCCCTAACGTTCTGTGATTCTGTGATTCTGTGAGCAAACAGAAACACCGAGATCACAGAGTCTTGCCCAAGAGCTTCCTTGGGATCTGCTGACTGCAGGGGCCAGGACCACACCATGGACAAGGACCATGGCCAGGACCAGGAGCACGGTCAGGACCACAGCCTCTCACCCCGGCAGTGCACATGAAGTCCCTCACGCTCTCATGTGGGTGAGGAGCAATGTCTCCCTACAGGGCAGCACGGAGTCCTGGTCTCCTCTGATGCCTGGCCTTGCCTGCTGGCTTTGGAGTAGAACAGGCTGGTTTGGCCCTTTGACACCTGCGATACTCGCAGTGGGGCTGAACAGGTTTAACCACCATGGGGAAACATGCAATGGAGGAAATCCTGCAGCCCAGCCTTTGTTCAAAGGCTTCAAACACTGCAACAACCACAGCTGCACCCCCTCTAATATCTGGAAATTTAAAAAGCTACAGAACATCAAATGGTGCTTGCTCCAGGGCCTCCTTCGGGGCCCAATGCTGCCGCAGAGGTGGTCGGGTGCGCTTCAGAGGTTACGTCCCCCAGTAAATAATGAGGCATGGCCCAGTGCTGGAGGCAGGCTGGCTAATGAGCCATTCAAGTAACTGCTCTCCTTTTCCTCCAGCCTTCAGCCCCAAACTATATGCGCCAAAATGAATGCATTCTGGGAGGCTATTTTTCTCCCTGTAACAAGGTCTAAACTGGCAAGATTAATGTGAACAACAATTATTTTAATTAACGGGATTTATGGAGAAAGCAGAACCGGTATCGGTAACCCTGGACTGTGCTGTGCACCTGGCTGACATCTGACAGCAAAGCTGCTGCTGTTCTCATGGCCAGCGCTGGGCACAGTGCCGAAAATAAAGGGCGAGGTGGTCCCTGCTCATGGGGTCTGCACCCCTGCCCAGAGCTCAGAAAGGGGGGCAGCAGCCGGGTGATGTCCGGCCGCAGGACCGGCTACAGAGCTGGCACGGCAGCCGGACGTGGGGCTGGGCACCCATCCTCTGCCTGTGTGGGCTGGGACCCTGTGGGGATCTCCATAAGTGATCCAAACAGCCAGAGCCAGAGCTGGATCACGGGCCAGGCCCAGCTCTGTTCTGAGCCAAACACCCCGCTCCAGCTCTGCCTGAGGCAGAGGGGCTCTCTCCAGGAAGACGTGAGATGACCACAGTGCTGCAGTGTGGAGAGAACTGCACACCGGAGCTCCCAGGAGGCAGAGGAGGCTGAACCCAACAACTACTGGCAGCAAGGGGGCAAGGATGGGACAACGTCATGGACTTCAACTAAAAGAGGGGAGATTTCGTTCACACGGGGATGCTGCATCTCCTGCATAATGTATGTTTCTTCCTCAAAAGCTCCATTTCTAGATTTGTGCTGTTTCTCACCAAAATGCTTCAGCTCTTGCCCTTGCACAGTACAGCTTATAAACATGCCTGTAAAGCTCAGAAATTGAGGAGAAAAATAGTGTAATTATCCTTTATTTACTTCTAAAGCACTTTATTTTAGAACTGTTTCATGTTGTCTGGAGCAGACAACATTCAAAAATGCCAAGTCCTCAAAAACGTAAAAAATAATACTGGGTTACCCGCACCAGTGCAAATGGAGCATGGCTCCTGCGTCACAGCGAGGAGTTTCCAGCAGGAGCCGGGAACACAGACACTCTCCAGGCCTCGAGATCCTTCCTTGCTGCTGACGCAGCTTCTCGTGTCTTGCACCTCCATTGCAGCACCACAGCTTGCCCAGCCAGTGTGGGCAGCTTCAGCATCACCAGACCAAAACCAGCCCCAGACACAGAGATGGAGGAATGGCGGGGAGCAGGACAACAAGGGAAAACAACCCAAATCCCTGGAAATGGCAGTGTTCACACTCTCTTGAACACACACATGTCCCAGGGCACACGTCTGAACACACGGGGACCGGCATCTGACCACCAGCTGCCACACACACTGACAGCAGCACGCCAGGGCCACCACGGTGACTGTCCTGCACCGGGCAGACAGGGCAGCACACCCTCTGCATGCCTTCTGCATGCTCCCT